CCTGTGCCCGGGGCTGCTCCGGTAGCCGCGGCTCGGGCACCCCCGGGCTGTCCCCGGCAGGGCTGGGGGAAGCTGGAGGTGGGGGGCGGAGCGGGACCCTTTAGTTGTCTCCGGTTTTGCTGCCCGTGCCCTCCCCGTCCCGGGATGCCCCGAGCCCCGCCGGTGCCCGCGGGGGCTCAGGGACCCGGAGGGAAGCGGCTTCGCGGCTCCGCTCGGGCGGGGATGCTCCCGGGGTCCGGTTCTCCAGCCCGGAGCCGAGCCCAAAGCCAGCCCTGCCCGCCCGCCCCACGCTCCGGCGGCCTTTCCCCGCCCGCCCTCCTTCCCCCCGGGGCCCGTGGGGCACCCTGTCCGCTGGGGAACGGGCACCCCGCACATCCTGCGCCCCACCCGCACCCACTTGCTGCCTCCGTGCTCTCCCGCTCCCCCCCGGAGCCAAGGGAGGACACCGTCTGGCTCCCCAGCGGCATCCCTGCCCCGGAGAGGGATGTAGGGGGAGGAGGACGGGGACCCCCCGAAGCCTGGAGCACTTGTGGGGCTGGGAGGGTGGATGATGCCAAAGCGGGACGGGCTGCCTCCAGGCTCCTGCAGCTTCCCGGGGCTCCCTCCCTGCCTTTCCCTCGGGTCTCTCTCCCTGCCGGAGCCGGAGGGAAGGTTTTTCCCGTGTGGTTTTTGCGGTGGGGTAGCAGAGGTGATTTGCCCTCCTTGTTTCTGCTTTCTGCCTGCCCTGCCCAACATCCTGCCGAGGGAACCGGGTGGAGGAGAGGGCTCACGCCGGGCATCAGGGGAGCTGGGGAGGCCAAAATCCAGGCTGCAGCAGGGACCAACGTCTGCTGGCCCCAGCACCCAATGTGTCCCTGGGCCAGTTGGAGAAGTGCTTGTTGCCTGACTGGGTCAAAGCAGGAGGAACGGATCCCGCTTTCTCCATCAATACCTGTGATATTTGCAACCCACGTGGCTGCCACCACCCCCAGACTTTCCTCGGTGGTGTGGTCGGGGGGTTTCTCTTCACGAACACCCGCCGTGCTCCGTGATGGGCTGAGGTTTCAGGCTTGCCCCGGTCTTAGTCTCGGTCACAGCCGCTTTGCTCGGGGCCGTGTTCCAGGGGCACAGGCCCTGGGATGCCAGCGGCACGGCACACAGCTCCCTGGAGACATCCTGTCTGCCTTGGCAGCCACCAGGCAACTTTCCGCTGCTTCTGAGGGCTCCTTCCTGCAGGGAACCCCTCCGGGACTGTCCTCATGCCTTTCTAGCTGTGGATGGCACTCACGGTTGTCCCCAACACACCCTGTCACCCAGCACCCCATGGCTGGCACCCAGGTTTGGCCAGTCCCCCTGGTGCATCCTTTGCGGAGCAGGGCAGGGAATTGGGGCTTCCCAGGGTGAAGCAGCTGGAGGTGCAGTTGTACCTCTTCCTTTTGTGCTTTTCCTTTCCCCTCTCCTTTTCCCCCTTCCCTTTTCCCTTTCCCTTTCTTTTCCCCCTTCCCTCTTCCCCTTTCCCTTTCTTTTCCCCCTTCCTTCTTCCCTTTTCCCCCTTCCCATCCCTTTCCCCTTCCTTGTCCCCTTGCACTTCCCCTTCCACTTTCTCTCCCCCCTTCCCTTTTCCCCCTTCCCTTTTCCCTTTTCCCCCTTCCCATCCCTTTCCCCTTCTTTGTCCCCTTGCACTTCCCCTTTCCTTCCCCTTCCACTTTCTCTCTCCCCTCTCCCTTTCCCTTTTCCCTTTCCCTTTTCCCCCTTCCCTTTCCCTCTTCCCTTTCCCTTTTCCCCCTTCCCTTTTCCCCCTTCCCCTTCTCTCCCACTGCAGTGGGAGCAGGGACTCCAGCTCGCCGAGCCTTTGCTTTTGTGGTTTTTTTGTTTGTGTTTTTTGTTTTGTTTTGTTTTCTGTTGTAGTCCCAAATTAATCTTTGCTGTCAGGGGATAAAAGCCGGGACAGATGGCTCTGGGAAGAGCCCGGGGGCTGGAGGCGAGGCGGCCGGCACGCGGCTCTTCCCCCATGGCTAATGGCAGCGTCGCTTGGGGGGTCACTGCGTCGCGACACGTTGGGCTCCCAGGACAGGGGAGCAGGTTCCCTACAAGCGTCTGGGGAGAGGACACCGTGGGGGGGTCCAGTGGCATGTGGTGCCAGCCCCTTGCCACATTTTGGGTGTCACCCCAGCCTGGTCACCCGGCCCCTGAGCCGGGCGGGCAATGGATGGCCATTGGGGGGTCCCCGGGGGCTCAGCTCCATCTCTCCCTGCAGCTGCAAGCCAGGAGCCCGTCAGCATGGCGGGGAAGTGTGACACCATCTACAAGGGCTTCGCCAGCTGCCTCATCAGCCTGGGGGACAACATGGCCCAGAGCGTCCGTCGGCAGCGGGAGGAGGGCAGCGAGGAGGCGCAGGAGCTGGACACCATCTGCAAGTGAGTGTCCCCCGTTCCCGCGGGGACGGGTGGGGATGGCCAGGTGACTTTGCCAACAGCGGTGTGTCCCCCCCGTCACCCCCGCCCCGTCTCCCCCAGGTCCTGGGATGACTTCCACGCCTGCGCCAGCGAGGTGCTGTCGAGCTGCCCCGAGGAAGCGGCCGCCATCTGGGAATCACTGCGCCGGGAGTCCCGCAAGATCCAGTTCCAGGGCAACCTGCAGGAGCTGTGCAGCGCCCGGGGCCGCCTGGCCAGTGCCCGCGGCTCACCGGCTGCCGAGACCAACCAGGCCACGCTGCGGGGCTCGGCCACCCCGCTGCGACCCCGTCTGCTGGCCCTGCTGGCCCTGCTGCTGCTGGTGGCCCGGCTCTAGCCCTGCAGGTGCCCGGGTAATGCCCCGGGTCGGTCCCCTCGCGGTGGCCAAGCACTGGCACCCGTGGTCCCCGCCGAGCCCACCTTCCCCCCATGCTGGGCATCCCTCCTGGGTCACGGTCCTCTCCTGGACCCTTCAGATGGATTTATATTTATATTAAAAGATGCTTTTACATTTCTCCCGTCGCTCTGGCGTGGGATGCCCTTCGTGTTCTTCCCACGCTCCAGGTTTGCTCTGGGGGTTGGGGAGGGGATGTTCCCCAGACCAGCCCTAGAGAGGGTCACCGGGGAGGGGGGCTCTGTGGTCCTGTCCCCCCCAGCACATCACCTGTGGCCGCACTGGGAGCCCACGGGACCCCAGTGGCACTGGGGAGGGCTGGACCGGGGATTCCTCCCGCCCGGCTGCTCCTGAGCTGCTTCCCAGGGCTGTGGGATTAATCCCTTCGGAGATGGGTCAAATGGTGTCTTTATTTTAAGGGGCATCTTGGGGAAACACTGATTGCTTCTCCTCTGACGGGCAACTCTGATGGCCTCCCTTTTATTTTGGTCCTGCTATGTTTGGTCCTGTTAATGGTCATTGAGGAAACGGGGGTTTGAAGGGAAGAGAGGGTGGAATTTTAGCCGAGGTGATACTTGGGACCTGAAGTTCTCATCCAGGTCCAAGTGGGACTTGAGGAAGTTAAACCAAGACGATGTGCTGGAGTTTAACTTGGTTAAACTTGTGTCAATCAATGGAAGATGCTCTTATTCCCATCTCTGTTACTGTTACACTGCAAACTTCAGATATTTTTTTCCCTAGCATGCTAGAACCCATCGTGGCAAACCGGTTCATTCCCCTCAATGTGGGTTGGTGAAGTGACCTCCCTGCTCTCCAGGGAACAGCTGTCTCCCCTTGCCTGCCACCTGAAGGGACATTAAAATGGCAAATGGGCCACCCCATCTATTGCACAGACCCCTGGCTCCTCGCTGGCAGCCCCAAGGCTCCCTGTGGTGGCAGTGGGTAGATCTGGCCAACGTGTGGGACACTGTCCTGCACCCCAACTGCCAAAAGCCTCCAGCCAATGTGAGTGCCACCACGTCCCGGCCCTGTGACGATGCCAGCGGCTGGGCAAGGCAGGACTCATGAGAGCAGTGGCCACAAGCCATGAGTAGGAGTCTCTGCAGAGGCTTTGATTCCCAGGGTGACCTCGAGGGTGTCCCCAGAATGTCCCCATGGCCGGTCACAGGGCACGGTTGTGGATTTGGTCCAGGGAAGCATTTGTGCCGTGTCTGAGCGCCCTCGGCACGTGAACAAGAAGGTCAATTATCGCTGTCCTCATCAAGCCAGGGAAAATTATTGCTCACTTCATTGAAAAACCTCTTCCTGCAAGGTCTGGCCACTTAAACCTGTGGTCGCCAACCCCTGGGGTGTCACCCTGGCTGCCCCGGTCCCCTGCCAGCGTCTGGGGCCAGGGGACACCACCTGGATTTCTGTGCATCCCGGGGGGTGAGCGGTCGCTGCTGATCCCCCAGCTTAAGGGGGGACCCCACATTTATTTCATTATCCAGCCTGGAGCAGGGCTGGGGAGGGACACAAGACATGGCATGGGGAGCTTTGAGGTGGAACTTCTTTGCTGTGAGGGTGGCAGAGCCCTGGCAGAGGCTGCCCAGGGAGGTGGTGGAGTCTCCTTCTCTGGAGACATTCCAACCCCACCTGGACACGTTCCTGTGCAACCTGCTCTGGGTGGCCCTGCTCTGGCAGGGGGTTGGACTAGATGATCTCCAGAGGTCCCTTCCAACCCCGTGTGATTCTGTGAGCTCACAGAATGCCCTCCTGGTTCTCCCGAGCCAGCAGCTGCCTCTCGCTGTGTTTAAGGCTGGCGCCGAGGCGGGGGATAATCCGCCAATTCCTTCCTCTCCAGTCCCCTCAGCGCTGTGTTTAAGGGTGAGTTAATGCCGGATCCCCGCAGCCGGGCTAAGAGGATAAATGCCAGATGGGCGCAGCGCCCGTCGCCACGCCGGCACCTCTGCCTGGCCAGCATGGTGGGCTGGCCACCACGGGCACTCCCCATCCTCCTCCGGGGGATGCATGGCAGAAGGCTGTGCCACCACACAGCGAGACCTGGACAGGCTGGAGAGTTGGGCAGAGAGGAACCTGATGAACTTCAACAAGGGCAAGTGTAGGGTGCTGCACCTGGGGAGGAATAACCCCCTGCACCAGGACAGGGTGGGGGTGACCTGCTGGAGAGCAGCTCTGAGGAGAAAGACCTGGGAGTCCTGGTGGACAACAGGCTGACCATGAGCCAGCAATGGGCCCTTGTGGCCAAGAAGGCCAAGGGCATCCTGGGGGGCATCAGGAAGAGTGGGACCAGCAGGTCAAAGGAGGTCATCCTGCCCCTCTGCTCTGCCCTGGGGAGGCCCCAGCTGGAGCACTGGGACCAGTTCTGGGCTCCCCAGTTCCAGAAGGACAGGGAACTGCTGGAGAGGGGACAGCAGAGGCTACAGAGATGGTGAGGGGCCTGAAGCATCTCCCTTCCGAGGAGAGGCTGAGGGACTTGGCTCTTTTTAGTCTGGAGAAGAGAAGGCTGAGGGGGGATCTGATCAATGCTTATAAATACTTAAAGGGAGGGTGTCAGGAGGATGGGGCCAGGGTTTTTTCAGTGGTGCCCAGGGACAGGACCAGAGGAAATGGGCACAAACTTGAATATAAGAAGTTCCACCTAAACATGAGGAGGAACTTCTTTGCTGTGAGGGTGGCAGAGCCCTGGCAGAGGCTGCCCAGGGAGGTGGTGGAGTCTCCTTCTCTGGAGACATTCCAACCCCACCTGGACACGTTCCTGTGTGACCTGCTCTGGGTGGACCTGCTTTGGCAGGGGGTTGGACTAGATGATCTCCAGAGGTCCCTGTCAACCCCATGTGATTCTGTGGGAGCTGGAGGGCCACCAAAGCGGTGCTCTGCCAGGCCATCATCATGATAATGGCATTGGCATGCACCAAATTGTGCCACTTAGGTCCAGCCGGGAGGTTGTGGGTGCCTGGGAAGACCTGCAGACACCCACCAAACATGCAGGGTTGCATGGAGAAAGACGTCCCATGCCCTGGGAGATGTCACCACACGTGTCCCGCACTCTTGGCTATGTCACCATGTGTCCTGCACACCAGGACGTGTCACCACACGTGGCCCGCGCCCTCAGCTATGATGCCACACGTCTTGCAGCTGGAAGGTGTCCCCATGTCACCACACATGGCCCAATCCCTTGGCTATGCTGCCACATGTGTCCTGCAGCTGGAAGGTGTCCCCACATGTGACACCAGAGCACGTCACCACACACCCTGCAGGCACTGGAGGCTCCAAGGAGCCAGAGATGGGATTTGGGGATGCTGGACTAGGACTGGCCCTTGGGTCACTGCTTCTTGGTGACATGCCGTGGTGCAAGGGTCCATAGCAGAGCACTGCCCACCGTCACTGTGTCATCCCTTCAAGGAGGTGTCCTCAAGGCTATGAGTGGCAGTGTGACAGCAAGGATGGGCACACCAACCCCTGGGAAAGCTCTCCAGGTGCTCCAAAACTGGGACAAGCAGCTGGTGTCCGTCCTCCCCTTGGGTTCAAGGGTTTGGGGCAAGGATTTGGGATAGTCCTACGGTGGGAAGGGACAACGGTTTGGGACAGTCCCACCAGTGGAAGGGACATCATCTTCGTTCCTTCCCCCCGCAAAACAAACAGCTGGTGACCTGCACGCTGCCTGGAGTCTTAAAGCATCTGCCCAGGTTGAAACCCTGGACTGGTGAAGGGGGGAGGGTGGGAACTGGTGGCCCCTGACCACCGGGCACCTCTGAGCAACCAGCGTTCTGTGACAACCCACCGCTCCGGTTATGAAACTCCGGCGACCTACTTTACACTCCCCGCTTTTGTTCTTAATTCCCAGATATGGCCGCTCTCCAGATTTTGCCCATCAAGGCAAATTAATTGGAGTAGATCCTAATTTGCTCTCTGCTATTCTTTGGGCAGAAGATTAAATGCTCTGCAGACATTATCTCCCTCTCTCTTTTCTAAGAGACAAACCTGAATTATTAAAAAAAAAAAAAGAAAAGGGGATAAAGGAAGGGCCGAGTTGGGTTCAGATGACGTTTGAATTCACTCTTTGTAATCGCAGAAGGGGCCGGGGAGGCTCCCGCATCCCCAGGCAGCTGGAACCAGATGGTGACTCTATTCCGGGTGGCTGTGTGAGCGAGTCATCACACGTGGCATGGTGACACGATGGCCAACCTTTCATGATGGATGGATCCGCCGTTCCTTTGCTCAATGAAATTCCTCCTGGTGAAGGTACCAGCCAGGGAGTGACTCCTCGTCTGTGGGGACGCACTGGGTTTCTCCAACAGGATGGGCTGAAGCCATGTCAGGGCCACTGGAGGAGGTGGGACAGCTCGTTGCCCTCCCACACACCCCAGTGTCACCATCCCAGCCTGGTGTCCCCATGGAGGAGCACAACCAGGCACCAGCCTGGCCGGGCAGAGCTTCCTCCAGCCGCTCTCCAGGGGGAGAGGAAGCACCAGGAGCCGCACGTAGCCTGGAGGACACTATGTCACAGGGCTGGCCACCACCCAAGCTCGCCTGGGGATTTCTGCCGAGCCAAATGTCCAATTTTCCATAAGGAAATGCCAAAAGGCAACCTCAATCCCCACAGATCGGATGCAGCGGGCACAGCTGAGCCGGAGTCACCTCTGCCACCGGGGCTGTGCTCAGCCCCCCAGGCTGGCACCCCCTCTGCACCCAGCTTTGGGGCTGGTTTTTTCTCCACCGGGGCATATGGAAATTTGGATTTCTTTTTTTAAGCAGCTTTAATTGAACATCCTCCCTCTCCGACCTCTGCTCAGCTTTGCCGGGACAACCTTGAGCTCTGGCCCAGCATGGCCACTGACACTCAGGTTCGCTCCCGCCTGGGGCTGGGATGTGGTGGGGAGGAAATCCAGGTTTCCCTCTTCACCGCGCGTCCGTTTGACGGCAGACGAGGGACCCTGCTGTGCCCCATGACCTTCCTATGGCCCAGCACAGCAGGAAACCCCGGGGTCCCCAAATTGCACCATGCCCTGGATATGCAGCAACGTCCCAGGGCAGCTGGGGGGGTGCCAGGGGACGCTGGAGGTGCTCGTTGCACCCTGGTGAGACTCCGGATTCAGACAGCAGCACTTCAGGCAGGCGTTGGATGCAAAGGGAGCTCTGGAGGTCTCTTGTCTAAGCTCCTGCTCCAAGCAGGGTTTACCTCGGAGCTGGAACAGGCAGCTCAAGGCTGGAGCTGGGCATCTGCAAGGAGGGAGGATTCTCCACCTCTCCAGGTATCCACCATCAGCTTGGTGGTCCCAAGCCTGCCTTGATGCCAGCTGCTTCCACAGGAGGACCCATGAGGAAGCTGCTGATGGGAGAGGCAAAGCCCCAAGGGGAACCCATCCTTGAGGAAGGATGGTGGTTCCCAGGAGGGAGCAGCCAGGCCGTGGGGCCACCTCTACTGCTGCTCCTTTGTAACAATCCCTGCCCCAATGGGCTGAATCCTTCCCACGGTGCCACAGGCAGGTCTTGGGGGTAAGAGCTGGCAGGGGATTTCTGAAGGAAGGAGGAGCAGGGAGAGGATCCTCTCTTGGGAAAGCAGCAGCTTGGAAGGGAGGTGGCAGAACCAGGTGAAAGTCAGTCAAGAAACAAGATGACAGCCGTGTGACAGGGGAGTGAGAGGCTGCAGAGTCTCAAAGCTGGGCACCTCCAGTGGCAAGATGCTAACCCTGGCCATGAAACATCCCTTGCTGGAGAAATTAGACCAAATAACAGATTTTAGGGGCCAACTTTCACTGACCCCAAACTCAAATCAGTTGCCCAAACTGCCAGACAGTGGCTCACATAGAGGAGAAGAGGGTTCTCCAAGATCCCTGCTCACTCCCAAGTTCTGTCACAGGTTCTACACTTCTGCTGTGAGCTGTGGGTCCTTCCCAGCCTCGGCCCTGAGTAGTTTGCCGGGCAGGTATGTTGGATTTGTTCAGATATGTTGGCTTTGTGCAGATACATTGGCTTTGTTTGGATATGTTGGCTTTGTGCGGACGCGTTAGCTTTGTGCGGATGTCTGGTGTGATGTTCTCTTGCCTCCGGTGGGTCTCAGAGCACTACTGCGGCATAAATAATACAAGAAAGAGCCACTCTGATTGAAGTTCTCAGAATTCCATGGTTCTGGCCCAAGAGTTCAATATGTGTTGGCTCTTTGACATTTTTGTGCTGGTAATTAGCAGTGGCGATGGACCTGTAGCTGCCTCATTTGATGTTCTTATGAGCTGGCGAGGAAAAGAAGCTGGGAGGAAGCGACTGATGGAAAATGCAAAACCCTGAGGAAAACCCATCCTCGCAGAGTGGTTATCCCCGTCCCAGCTGCTGTGGCCCAGGTGAGGCAGCCCCGTGTTCTGCATCCACCCGGATCAGCTGAGCTGACAAGGAGAGGTGATTTTTAATTTGCTGGTGGCACTGAGCTGGGATGACCTTGAGAAAGTCTAAAATAACAGGCTCGACTTTAACAGGGACACATGCAAGGTTTTACACGTTGGGCACAGGGTAAGTCACCTCCCAGGGACAGAGTGGAGAACATGTGGGAAACATCTCCAGAAGGAAGATGGAAGGGTTATAGGGCTGAAAACACACCAGTAGCACCACTGCTGTGTGGGAAAGCAAGAACAGGCTAATTTCCCTCAAAGGAAACTCTACAACTCACCAGATCTGTCCAGTCCGGCCCAATCAGCCCCTTCTCAGACATCTCACTCATTGCATTTCCGTAGCTTATCTGGAATTAACACGGAAAAGAAACGGATGACAATAGCAGGCGTCAGCAGGTACAACTTCTATTACGGAGTGACTTACTAAGCATTTTAACCAGCTATAGAGCCCAGGAGTGTTAAAATAAAAGCAGCTATTTTTAAAAGCATGGTAGGAGTGTGAAAATAGCCCCTCTCCACTCAAACCACGTCGGGAATGACGTGACAGCCAGGCTGGAAACAAAACACGACAGTGTGGCATTTGTGTTTTCCCTGGAGAAAGGAGTGTCGTCAGCGTCTCCGCAAGAAGGTGTCATCCCTCGCCCTGCTCCGTCCAGGTCACTCTAGGGTTGAAACATGGAGCGTTTTGTTTAAGGATGGAGAAGGGGGATGAGGAAGAAAGTTGCCCGGCAGTTCCCAAGCAAGCTTTGCAGGTTTTTGTCGCACTTAGTAGCTGGGGAAAAGAAATGAGAAAGGAATGTGCCTCGTTATTCTGTTGTGCACAAGAGTGAGCCCACAGGGACCTGCCAAAAAAACCAGGGCTGACGCTTCCGGGCGATTTTCTTGCAAAGGGAGTGTTTTTCCAGAGCCCTGCAGCCCAGCGGGGAGCCCTCAGAGCCGCTCGGTGGGAGCAGCTCTCCCAGGCGCTGCTGGGGAGCCGTTTGGGTCGGTTTTGGCTCCAGAAAGGAGGCGAGGAGTTGTCCCTCCTCAGGCAGCAGTGTCACGGTGGCTGCCCCTCAGAAGGGCGAGTGTGGGGAGTGGGAATAACGTGCAAGTTTCGGGGGGGGGATGTTCCTGCTCAAGTGGTGGGGCTGGGGGCACCCTGGGACCCGTGGGGCTGAAGGGGGCCCTGGGCCCTGTGGGGTGACAGGAGTCCTGGAGTCCATGGGGCTGAGGAGGTCCCAGGGCCTTGTGGGACTGAGGAGGGTCTGGGGCCTGGGGGGGCTCCTGGGGCCTATGGGGCTGAGGATTCCGGGGTCTGTGGGGCTGAGGGGGATCTAGGGACCTGTGGGGCTGAGGGATGCCCAGCCTTGTGAGTCTGAGGGGGCCTCTGGGGCTCTGTGGGGCTGAGGGGATCAAGGGGCCCGTGGGGCTGAGGGGCCTCTGGGGCTCTGTGGGGCTGAGGGGATCAAAGGGCCCGTGGGGCTGAGGGGCCTCTGGGGCTCTGTGGGGCTGAGGGGCCTGAGGGGCCGGCTGCCCGGGGGCGGGCCCGGGAGGCTGTTCCCCGCAGCCCCGGCAGGGGGCGCCAGAGCGCGAAAGGCGGAGGAGCGCCCCGCCCCGCCTCGGCCCCGCCCGCCGCCGTCTCCGCCAATCGCCAGGCGCGGTGTCCCCGCCCGCTCCCTCCCCCTCGGCCCCGCTCCGGCGCACGGTGATGACGTCAGAAGGCGGCGCCGAGCCGCGGGGCCGGAGCTGAGGTGAGTGTGGGCTCGGCCGCCGCCCGGGGCCGCCCGCTTCGCTCCGGGCCGGGGGGCGGCAGCCCCGGCTCCAGCCCTGGCCCGCCCTCCTCCGCCTCCTCTTCTCTGGGGCGTCGGTGGCTCAGCCCGGCGGCGCGACAGCCGTGCGGCCCGCCAGGGCGCGGCGGGCCCGGCGCTTCAGCCCTCCCGTTGTCCGGGGGCAGCGGGTCCAGGCGGGCCCGGAGCGTCCCCTCACCGGGCCGGGGAGGGTGCGGGGCTTCCCAGGCCTGGAGCCGTGACTGCGGCGGGAGGAGCTACCCGCTCAGCCTTGGGTTCCCTCCCTGGAAAGGATGGGGGGAAAACAGCCTGGTTCGGGATGAGTTATGAAAAATAATAAGAGTTTGGGAAATCCCGGTTGGTTTGACCGGTTCTATCCTGCCGCCGGCTCTGGCATAGCTGCCTGGAGTGCTGCAGCAGCCCCAGCCCCCGTTCTCCCCTCAGAAACCCACCGAAGGCTTACACTGCCAGCCAGGGGGCCGGTAACACCAGGTTTGTGTCAGGCAATAAGATGCACTTTGAAATTTATTAGTGAAATGAAAGGTGAGGTGTGGTGAGGCCTTTTTTCCCCACTGTGCTGCATCGGTGTAAGTGTGATCTGAAGGTTGCTGTGTGTGAGCATTTCCTAGTGTAGTTCAGAGCTGATATCTTCAAGTTCCCCTATAATTTGTGAGGTATTTAATTGGTGGTGGAAGGACTGCTAGACCTCGGGCGGGTTTGCCAGGCGGCTGACACTCCTTATCCACGGGGACACCCTCAGGTATAAAACTGCTCAGGCCCTGATATTTTCAGAGGGGTAGAGGATGCTTCTGATGAACCAGCAGGAGTTGAGGTGTTGCCCAGCAGAGCCATGGGAGGCAACGTGCTGGGTGTCCAAGGAGAGAAGCAGGTGGATGTTGAAGCATAAACCCCATGTTCCTTCTCACCACTTACAGCCCCAGCTCGGGTGTGCTGCCCTCGTGCCAAGAGTTTGGCACCTGCTGAGTGTGGGATTTTCCTGCTCAGAGGGGGCTTGTAATGCCCTGTTTCTCTAATGCATTAGTTCCTTTTCCCAGACTCTTGGTGATTAATACACAGGAACGTTTCCACCTGCGCTGATGTGGAATTAAGAGTTTGGTTCCTGGCTGTGGCATTTATATACAACATATGGATTTATATACAACATTTTCCAGCTCAGTGTTTGACCCTTCTCATTGGTTTTGTTTACGGGTGGGACATTTCACACAAGTGTGGAATTGCTCTGTAATAACCTTGTTTGTGGGTGCTCTCATTCCCTTTGTCTGTTAACCTGGTGTGCTTTAAGGCACAATACGTAAACTGTCGGTGTGAGGTATTATTCAGGAATAGCTGTGGTATTTATTTTTTTGACTTAGTACTTTAATCTGAATGAACACCTAATTGTAGGACAGCCCTTGGTGAAATTCAAATGTCAGTTAAGCTTTCTGTGAAGTTGGTTTTTATTTCTACTGCTTGCACCCTTGTATAGGCATGTTTGTTCGTGGTTGGTGTGCTTGACTTTGTGGTACTGCCAGGAGATCTTAGGTGAGAAATTACTTTGTTGATGTCTGCTTTTTAAAATCAAATCTTAACTAAAGCCTTGTATTCTTTCCAGGTTGGATGTAGAGTCTAAACTTCTTCCGGGTGTTCCTCTAAAACATTTCTTCTTTCTCTGTGTATTTCCCCTGATGGAAGATCAGCCGCAGTTCGTGTTCTGTGGTTCATGCTGAAGAGCTGCTTGGAAGAGGTGGTGAATGAGTGAAGAGAAACGTTTGGTGATAGTAAGGCATACAAATTACGTTTCAAGGCTAATGGCTTTTCTGTGAAGGCTCGGGCACCGTATTGATGGGCTCTGAGCCACGGAGTAGAAGTTTTAAAAGTGCGTGGCTAACTGCCAGAACGCATACAGGGGGATTCGCTGTCTCCTCGCCAGTCAGACTGTTTTAATTAGCACCTAAAGATTTGTTGAGGTGCAGCTGATTTGGTTCTGCTGGAATACAGTGTGATGAGCAGGAACTCCCTTTTGTTTTCCTCTGGAGCAGCTGGTAGAAATTCCACTTCCTACACCCAACTCCGTATGGAAAACCAGAAGTGCCACTTGGTAGCTGAAGATGCAAAAGAAAGCAAAGCTGAGTCAGGATGTTAAAATGTGTTAAAGCCTTCCTTGATTTCTTTGGGTTTGGAGGGCGAGGGAATTGCTGGTTAAATAAGGGCTGCCTTCTTGCAAGGGATGCAGTAAGTTAAGTGATAATTAAAATGCATCTTAAAACCAATGGGCCTCTGTCTCCATATCCCCTGCCTCCTGGGCAGTTTCTGTCATCCCCGGGAGCACAGTAGTGGGAGGTTTATGACACAGGTACAGCTTCAATATAAAGAAAACCTTAGGAAGATTTGTTAAATGACCATGTTGCTGAGATGCTTTGTGGAGTTTCTATTGAGAAATTTCAAAACTCTTAAGATTGGGAGTGGCTGCTGTGCTGTGAAGTTGAGCAGACGAAACAAAATTAAGGAAAATGCTCAACTCTTTCCTGAATAAGATTTTTCTGAAGTGCTTGGGGCTGGCCAAGAAGACCTCCAGAGGTCTGTTCCAGCCTCAGCTATTCTGTGACGCCGTGATTCATTGCTCAGCTGGGAGCGTTAAACAAACTATGCTTAATAAAAAGAGATATTGTGTGATTCCCAGAGATATCTGTTCTGACCGTGATGGTGTTTTACAGGCCCTCTCTTCTTCAGGTTGTGATGAAAGCCGGGATGTGTTGTGCGTGGTCGGTAGTATAGTAAAGTGAAAACCCCAGACTCTTAGTTTGTGGTAGCCTCACTCTGTTGAGACATCAACCACTAGTGGTTTTTTTTCTTCCTGTTTGAAACTTCGCAACACTGATTCCTATTTATCTGTTTCTTCTCGTTCTTTCCCTAAGGTTCAGATGCGGGAATTGCCCCGGATGCGGTTGCTGCTGATGCTGCCCTGGGAAAATGCCTTGACAGGGAATTAACACTGTTCAGTGATGGGCTGTGGGACAAGCAAAGTGCTTCCCGAGCCCCCCAAAGATGTGCAGCTCGACCTGGTTAAAAAAGTGGAACCGTACACGGGCCACAATGACATCTACAAGCATTTCATCAAAGATGACTGCGGGACCGTTATCAAAGCCGGCTCTCCCTCCCCTCCCCGCCACGCCAACCCCTACCCTGGGAACCACCTGCCCACCCTCGTGGACCAGCTGGAACCCCGCAGGAACAAAGTGGCTAAGTACCGTGCCAAATTTGACCCCCGAGTGACGGCCAAGTATGACATTAAGGCCTTGATCGGGAGGGGGAGTTTCAGCCGCGTGGTGCGGGTGGAACACAAGGCTACCAAGCAGCCCTACGCCATCAAGATGATAGAGACCAAATACCGGGAGGGGAGGGAGGTGTGCGAGTCGGAGCTCAGCGTGCTGCGCCGGGTCCGGCACACCAACATCATCCAGCTGATCGAGGTGTTTGAGACCCAGGACCGTGTCTACATGGTGATGGAACTGGCGACGGGAGGAGAACTGTTTGATCGAATCATCGCTAAAGGTTCCTTCACCGAGCGAGACGCCACGCGGGTGCTGCAGATGGTGTTGGATGGCGTCAAGTACTTGCACACCCTGGGAATCACGCACCGGGACTTAAAACCAGAGAATCTGCTGTACTACCATCCGGGAACGGACTCCAAAATCATGATTACGGATTTTGGACTGGCAAGTGCTCGGAAAAAGGGAGATGACTGCCTGATGAAAACCACGTGCGGGACTCCGGAGTACATTGCTCCCGAGATCCTGGTCAGGAAGCCCTACACGAACTCTGTGGACATGTGGGCGCTGGGTGTTATCTCCTACATCCTCCTGAGCGGCACCATGCCCTTTGAAGATGACAACCGCACCCGTTTGTATCGGCAGATCCTGAAAGGAAAATACAGTTACTCAGGCGAGGTGAGTGTGGCAGGGCTTATGGTGAGGGAAAGTCCAACGAGCAGCTCTCCAGAGGTGGGTCCCTGTGGTGACCAGAAGCTGGCTGTCGTGTGCAGGGTGGTAACATTACCAGGGTTGTTCTGGCTTTTTAAACCCCTTCCTGTCTTCTGTCTGCTTTCAAAACTGCTTCCAGCGCAGCGTAGTGAGCTCCTTTAAAAAAAAAAAAGTGTGTCTAAAGAAAGAAGAGATCTCTTCCTGTAGAGCAGAACTGGAGGGATCGACAGAACTGGGATGCTTGTGGGTTTCTGACTGGGGAGACCTCAGCCCTGGTGAGCTGCTGTTTCACCCTTCACTGTTGAAACCCCTGCCAGGGCGAGTGTTTGTAATGTGGCGTGTACATCCCTAGTCTGATTCCTGATACAAATCCAAGTGTAGTCTGAAAAATACCTTTGCTGAAAGCTGTGGTTGTGGCAGGGCAAAAGGGCGCTTGGCTTCTTAGATCTGATGACATGGGCGTTTCTGAAATTGGTCTGCATTGTCTCTGAGCTTAATATGTGACAAAAGTGAGGGCTGAAGGATAGTTTTCTTAGATAACTATGGAAAGAGGAACCTTGGGGGATAGAGTTTAGGCAGACGTCCCCTTACTCTGTGGAATGGCTGGGTGCCAGGCTGGCACAGCTTCTGCTTACTGGTGATGGTGGGAAATCTCAATTACCAGTGCAGTTGCCAAGTGCAGGCACAACCTCACTAAAAATTACACTTGCAGATTTGGATCCCTCCCCACTTTCTGTAAGTTGCATTTTTGCCTATAACCCTCACTGGAAATATTAAACCCCGAAACTTCTATAACCTCCTCCTCTTTAATAAGAGAGGAGAGTGTTTAGATTCCAGAATGCTGTGACTTTGTGAGATGAAGCCCGCTGGGAAAGTGTTAATGAGTTGCTAAGTTTATGATGCTGAAATGACAGTAAAATAACTGTCAAAAAATAGAATAAATTAATGATTGTTCTTGGATTTTTAGGTGTGAAAGGTATATTGGCATTTTAATGATGGATGGAAGGAGGCTAACGTGCTGAGTTTTTAAGCATATTAAGCTACTTTAGGATTGCATTTAAAGAAAACCAAAACAAAAGATCACTCTCTGAAGGGTTTTCGGAGGTGTCAGTGAGTAGTTTCTACTTGGCCAGCTTGTGTTAATAGACTGAGTATCCAAGTTAAAAGAAGCTGAGGAATATTGGCGTCTGCACAGGAGGCTACTGAGGAGAGCCCAGACATGACAACTTTGTGAATGTTTGTGTTCTTCCCATGCGCGCTCCTCAGAAGGTCTCCTGGTGCAGAGAGGAGACACAAATGTGAGGAGCCGTAAACCACCAAATCTGGCACTTTCTGGACCCGAGTGTATTACTGCCTTTGGAAACCGCAGCACTTGATTAATTTCTTGCCAACAGTATTCTATCGACTGCTTTCTGGAACTCCGAGCCTCAGCTGACTTTGGCAGCCTTTGCTTCTTTTGTTAATTTGCCGCGTTAATATGATTTATGAACCAGCTGCAGAGCTTTAAGCGTGCAATCGGGTTATCCTAATGCAGAAATAGATTAATTGCCAGCGGCGTGTGACATCTGCAGGGTCACACTGAAAGGCAATGCCTCGTTACCTAATTTGCCCTAGAACCAGCGGCAGTGGGTCTGTTAGAAATTACTTTTCATGTGTGAAAAGGCCAGTTCACACTGACCCTTGTCATGTAGCAAAACTCATTTTAAGTGTGTCCACCTCCTCGTGGGTTCTCATTTAAAAAGTAGGTAGGTGCTAGCTTGGCTCACCTTGGGTATTGGCCTCTGGACAGCAGACTTTAGAGCTTTCTAAATTCCTTAGCCAAAAGGTTTGGTCCTTTTTTAGCTCACTCCATTCTGTTAAGTCTTGGCCATTCATTTTTCTCCTCTCCTTCCAACTCTTTTACTTTGAAGAAGCAGTGTGGTGTAACGGGGTGGGGTTTTTTTGGTGAAAGTTACCCTTCTTTAGGCTACTTGTAATCTTTGAGATGGAGTGATACCTGAGCGCTGTTGGCTTTGTGTCGTGGCATAAAAAGGTCTCTCTGATTGCTCCCTGCTTCTTCCTGCGGGGTTTCGGAATTGTTTCTTTGATACCTCTGAGCATTTGGCTGATGATATAGAGAGTGGTCTCCACGTGACTCCGCGAGGTTTCCGGAGTGTTAGTAGCTGATTTTTGGGGGTGTGTGTGTATACACCTGGGGGGGTGTGTATATACACCTGGGGGTGTCATGGTGTATATATAATTTGGTTCATTCCCTCAGTGCGTGAGCTTTTGTGACATTGAATTTTGTCACTGTCATTCAACTTTGTCACTTGCTATTTTTACCTTTTTGCAGATTTTTTTTTTTTATTAAGTTTCGTGTGTTAGCCAGGACAGGTTCCCCCCATTATTGTGAAATGTGGTAATTGTGGAGTCTTAGAAGCAAGTGGTGGGTCTGACCCCTGAGAAATGATGCTGCTGAGGTTAGAAACAAGGCCGAGGAAGTAGTGAGAGACCACGAGATAAATTGGCTGATGTTTGGGGTGGACAAACTTGGAGTGGTCCCATGGGAAGACGGGCGGTCTGAATTGTCTGTAAATGATGGTGGGCCATGGAGGCGGTGCTTACCCTTCAGAATAAGCAATTTGAGGTTAAACACTTCTGATCTTGATCCTTATGATACTTATGATTGGAAGCTGATTGATGTTAGGAATCAGTGTTACTGTTGCATGGGCCCTTGCTGTGCTGTGCCTGTCAGCCACCTGCACTTTAATCATAGAATCATAGAATTGTCCAGGTTGGAAGGGACCTTTCAGATCATCGAGTGCAGTTCTGTTTCCCCTGGAAAAATAATGCAGAATTAAAAAGCATCTAAAGAAGGGCAGTGTGAGTGGGCTGGCTTCCCTTTGAAGACCACGTGAACAAACCAGAGCCCGCCCTTCCTCCAAAAAAATACGTGTTTGGGGGAGGCTCTGCCCAAGCAGCACGTCCATAGGGAGAGGAACTGTCCTGAGGGTTCCCTGGGGGAATTCAGTTTGATGTCCTCTGGTCCTCGTGTCAGAACTGAATTATTTTGAGAAATTTTGTGATTTCATAGCGACACTGGATGCTTGGAGGTTGTACACACAACAGTGACATGCGTGCCACGGAGAAAGTGTTAGACTACATATTCTGAAAGTGCCAGTGCACAAGCCTGAAGGATTTTACTTGTTATCCCACCACAAATTACATCCTTGAGGAGGCTATTACGGATACTATGTGTGACACGAATGGTTGTTTTGGAAAATTGGAGAAGTTTTACTGCTTGGAAAGCAAATATATGTCAGCCAATAGCCCCGTATATTTTGCCCAGATGCTTTCTGTTCTTCTAGAACCAGGGAAAATCGATGCTTTCATTTACCAGTGTAATTAAAGCCATACCCCTAAATTGCAGGTGTGTTTGAGTGTAGCCAGGTATTGGCAGGAGATGCAGTAACAGAATGCCCAATTTGTGAATAAATTCTAGGTGGAATCAAAGTGAGCCTGAGATTTAGAGGTGTCTGGCATGTTTCCCACAACCTTGCCAGCTTTCTTAAAGCCATCTTCTAGACTTTTAAATGCTTCCACATTTCCAGCATTCACAGAAAATTGCGTTTCTTTTTGTGCGTGTGTCACACTGGAAGAAGTGGGAAGATGACAGAAATGAGGCTGGTGAGTTTTTCAGACTAATGGAAGTGGCAGGAGCTGTAAGCCCTGGTTTGTTTGGAACAAGAATGAGCAGAATACTTGTCTGCGTGTCAGAAAGTCTCTGATTAGATGCAGGAGAAGAGATTTCGGGGGGATGACTGCTGTTCTCTCTGTAATGTGAACTTTGAAGATGTGAGATGGAGGAGGAAATGTTAAAAGGAGCCTTTGAGGTAAAGTGCCCAGAGCTTGACAGCTTGAGCTGCCCAGCTGAGACACAGAAGGAGGGAGCCATCCTCTGAACCGCGGTCCCGTACCGTGTCACGCAGCAGCAGCACTGCTGGTTTGCTGGGAATCGGTGCCGAGTCCCACTTTTTTTGAGAGGTCTGGCCTCAAAACCTGGTGGGAGAGGACAAAGCTGTATTGAGGGAGGAATAAAAGCCAAGATGCACGCTGACCTGAGAAAGGAGCTCCGTCTTCCTGAAAAAACAAGTGAGCTCGTGTCCAGCTCCTGTAATTGCTTTGTGACAGGGACCCTCTTACCCTGCTCTCCTGTGCCTGGAGTGTGAGGGCTCTTTGAAGAGGCTGTTAGCAGATCAATAGCAGAGGTATCCCATAATAGCTTATTCAGGTACTGCTGACATCACTGCTCTGATTATCTCTTGTGTCTTCCTGTACTTTCTGAACTGCTTGGGGTGATGGGCAGGGTGAGGAATGAAGAAAAGCTGCCTTTGTAACTCCGGCAGTGCTTTTGTTTTCCTGAGCATCTCTGAATAAGGGTTACTTGGGCTGCTGAATTTTAATTGAAATCTTGGGGTTAAAACTGATTTCTGGAGGATAAAAAGTTGTCTGAGGAATAAAGCTGGAATTCCATTCACAGTTTCCTCTGAATTTGAAAGTGTGGAAATGAACATGGGGCCATCATTACCCTGCTAAGGCTGGCTTGCTCCGGGTCTGGTTCAAAGCTTGTCCTTCTCTTGAATACTGATACTTTTATGTTGCTTAACGCACCTGGGAAACTTGCTGGAAGAAGTGGGAGATAATGTGTTGTGGATAAATTGGGAAGCTGGGCTCAGGATTGGTCTAGTTTTGATACCTGATTTGGGCAGATCCTTTCCCTGTGAAGTCTGTTTTCCCATTCACAGAACAGAATCAGCTTTTTGTGGTGTGTTCACCATGGGTGAGGTTGGTGGGTGCCCATGTGGGAACATCTCTTAATCAGTTTCAAACCAAAAAAACCCCTTCTTCTAAATAATGGTGCTGGTGGATCCATTGATCAATTGATCAGTCCATTGATGCAAGGAGAGACGTGTTTGAGATGTGAAGGG